ACCTGATCCACAATTCTGTTGATAACTTGGATGACAAAACATGATATCCTACTCTCACATACATGACCAATGATACACGATAATTATTAAGGCACTTATTATTGCACTCACGATAAAATCAAGTATTCCCTGTTGTTGACACTGCTGTGTTGTAAAGCGCAGGAATGAAACAGGAAACATTTTACGACAATGACGAACTAATAAATTAATGTTACCATTACGTCTACATACACTGTGTCTTATGTATCTTTCCTATACATAAATGCACTCATAATACATGCACTCATCCTTGTGTATTTGTATCCATGTTCACATCTATGCACTCATCATACTTACACTACCTCTCTGACGCTAGGGTGTCCGGAGTTACCATCTGATCAGTTCCTTCTGTTGTACTGAGTAGATCCTTAATCTGATCTTTTTTAGTTTTGGTTTGTTATAATAAGGTACTGTTTAACCAGTTTTTGGATGTCTTTATTGCTATTAAAAGTTTAACTGTCATTTCTTTACTTGTCCTTTTTATATATTTGTGTGTGTTTGTGTGTGTGCGTGTGTGTGTGTGTGTGTGTGGTGTGTGTGTAGTTTAGGGGGGAACTGCTTATTATCCTAACCACATTTCTTTCCTAACTCTGTACTTTAATATTATTATTTTTCTTTACACTAGCACACAAAAAATCTACTTCCTGCAATGAATCCTGAACGAAAGAATGTGCATGATCAGGTATGACGATATTAGGAAACAAGCTGGTGGTGAACCAGTGCTAAATCATATCAATAGAAACAAATCAAATATTTAGGACTTGTCTGAAGGCTTCCACCAGATAACACACCCCAGAGAGCCTTGTATGAACACAGCTGATGCAGAGCTGAATGAAGTTCACAAACGCAAGCAATGCACAAATGAAAAATCTAAGGCTGTGAATACCACCAGCATCTAGATAGCACATACCAAGGCTCGCTCCAGATGCCTCTTCAAAACCAGACGTCGAAAGGAAGGAAAAGCTATTGAAAAGAAGGGGAAAAAGGGGGGGGGGGGACAGTGATTCTGAGGCGCTTCTCACAACGTCTCTCGTGCACACGTTACAGACATTACCTTCATTGTTTCTTTCGCTGTGTTATCGCGTAGATGTGTACAGGACCATATTTCACACAATGCTTATTGGACCTACAGGGATAGACCTATATTTTATAGACTAATCGGCACGCAATGGGTAATGTGGTCAACTTCACACCGCCTGCCTGTACTAATCTAGACTTTACCTGCTATACATTCACAACTAGACTGACCTGGGAAACGAAGTCATGTTTAGAAAAAAAAAAAAAAACAATCCTCCTCATTACCTGAAATTACGACCTTCCGTTCACAGGCTCACGTGTTGCCGCTACACCATGGCGGCTGCCTTAGTAGTTGTGGACATTGGTCAATAACCTCCTGCTGGACGGTAATTCTTCTCTTCCTTTGCAGTCTCAAGTGTGCACAAATGTTATATTTACACGTGTGTCTTACAGGCATGCCAGGGAGGGAGATTTCCTCTACTATCGTTTATCAAATCCTATATGACGATGACTTCGACGGCAGTAGCTACAACAAGCGCAGTGCCCGGAATAAATACAACAACGGCTAATAAAGATCAAGCTGACAAAGAATCTAGCGGTGATCTTATCTATGTTGCTGTTTTTATTTTATTTGCTCTAGCTTCCATCTTTGCCTGTTTGGTGCTATTTTGTTTGCGGAGGCGGAAAAAACTGGCGCATGTAGAAAAGTAAGAAGGCTGGTGATCTGCAAGTTGGCCCTCCTCCATGAGCAACAATGAAATTATGTGATGTTAGGAGGGAGTGTAAACAGAGAAGATATTACCATGTATGCGTGTGTTTGTGTATGTGTAGTGTGTCTGTTTGTGTTTGTTTCATATCTAGGAGTTCCAAACATCACCATTCTGTTTTGTTTTTATTCGTTACACAATGCTTAGAGTGTTTACCTTTAACTAGTTCTTTCCTCTGCATTATTTTTTTTTATATCATAGTTAGAATTAGGAGCAACACCTTTGCCTCCTCCATCAACATTCAGAACGTTTCTCTTATGCGTCATCGTTCTCTCAATCCATTTGTTTTTCGTTTCAGAGACTGCTTATAAATGTTCTGTTAACTTCTTTTCACGATGTGCTCATTGAAACGTTATCTTCGCATTCTTATAACTGTTGATATAATCGGTTGTTTGTACAGGTCTTTCTCCTGTTTCTTCATGAAATATCAAACAATAAATTGTTTAGTCTCGTCTCTCTCTCTGTGTTTCTGTCTCTGTCTTTCTCTCTCTCTCTCTCTCTCTCTCTCTCTCTCTCTCTCTCTCTCTCTCTATCTATCTATCTATCTATCTCTATCTCTGTCACTTTCTTTCTCTCTCTGTAAGTATGTGTTTGTTTCTCAGCACACCAGGATGACGAGGTTTATTCCGATGATGGTAATGTTCTTTTCATTATTGACTTCAGCATTGACTTTTGAAGGAGCGATTAACAATTGTGTTCGGCTTCACAGCTAGGCTATGGAAACAGAGAAAACAGAGAGAGAGAGAGAGAGAGAGAGAGAGAGAGAGAGAGAGAGAGAGAGAGAGAGAGAGAGAGAGAGAGAGAGAGAGAGAGAGAGAGAGAGAGAGAGAGAGAGAGAGAGTAGAGAGCGAGTAGCAAAAGGAGCCAATTTTTAAACATTCCACCCAGAAAATGCAGAAATGAGGAATTTACCTTCCAAAGAAGGAATTATATCCACACACAATCAACAAGCTACTATTTGAAGAAGATAAGTGCCTATTCTAGAATGAGGATAGTAGACTGCAAGAACGTTTGAACTGGCTAAGTTCAGCATGCAACAGATATGAAAATAAATACTGCTAACAACCGAACTAATGCAGGTCAGCAGAATTCCTAGTCCGCTGCACATCCAGTTAAATGGTTCTTGTCCGCTACACATCCAGTTAAATGGTTCTTGTGTGAAGCAAGTTAAAGTATTTAAAGGTCTAGGCAGTAGATTCTTGGGGGACGGGAGAATATATAGGGAAATAGAAACAAGCTGCCAACAAGCCAAAACTATCAGACTTGGGCATTATCGATGACTAACCTACGTAAAGTTATCGCATCCCTGAGTATATTCCCCAACTTGACCATCTGAGACAAAGTTAGAAATGATATTATCATTGAGCAAATTCATTGAGAAGCATCCGATGAAAAATGGTTTGGTCATCTAGTAAGAAGGCAGCGTGGACCACTACCAACGCAGGCCCAACGTGAAAAGATCTGAAGTGAAAGCAAGAGGCCGCCCAGATAAATGATGGATTAATCACAATAAAGAGCTTCCACATCGACACAGAATGACAAAAGAAAGCCATTACTGCCCATCAAACAATGGATCGCTAACTGTTTCTTCCCACAACGCTTACCGGCAGAAATGATGATGATGATGATGCTGATGAAAGTTTATTGTAGTTCTCCATTAGAATCAGAAAGAAAATAAACCGGAAAAAAAGAAGAAGAAAAGGAAGAAAAAGAAAAAGGACAAGAATAAAAAGAAGAAGAAGAAGATGAAGAAGAAGAAGAAGAAGAAGACGAAGGCGAAGTTGAAGAGTGTACAAACAAGAAAAGGGCAATAATAATAACAATCATGACAATTAAAAACAACACGACGTGAAAGACAAAAGATATACATTCGTTTATTGGTGTCACTGAAGACTTTCACTGAAGTGAAACAAACCAGACAATAGAGGGCCAAGCAAGACAATAAATGACCAAACGAGATAACGGAAAACGAGACAAGAAAATAAAGTATAAGATCAGACAATGAAGTAATAGTTAAAAGAATACAGGACCAGATAAGAGAAGGTAGGACTAGACAGACAAAAGAGAACCAAAGCACAGTAACACAAAGAGACCAGACAACACAGGAGGGGACAAGGCAAACCGGGACCCGTTGAGTTGATCTGGTTAAGAAGAGATATCACAGCAGCCATGACATTCCTATAACCATTTGTTTGCATCAAGTGTAGAGTCTCAGTGAAGATGTAGCAGTCTGACTGTATGTCAGTCTTGTCTTTCTCCTGAGTGTCGACCAGATCCCATAGTCACTCTTGTCGTCACCTGTCTCTTTAGTCCGTAAAGAACCACTTGTGCCATCGCACTGTTCACTCGCTCCCAACTGGTCTTGATCTCCAGCTTGTATTCATGAATTTACCACCCAGTGATGGAGAACCAGCCACTCTGCATGTTCGTTACCCAGCATACGTTCATGTAGTGGAAAAAATATTCAGAGGATGTTGACTACCCGAGACTTTTGCAGCAATCACTGTCATGTTACACGGATCAGTCCTGTCTCCACCACCGTTAACATACTCTGTGAGTCAGTGACAGTTACAGAATGTGCCTGTGTGCAGCTGATTATCAGGCCAGCAGAATGCTGTTGGGACGACCTCCCTCTCTTTTCTGATACTATATTTTGTTATATCATAAGCTAAACTTTATTGCACCAACAGCCATCCCTTTGCTTTTGCTATGAATCACGAAGCATTTTCTATGTCTCTTATTACAGACGACACAATGCAGGAACAAATAAGACAACACTGTACCACACAAGAAAAACGAGGACCAGGCAAGGCAGCAGAGTGCAGATCAAACTTCGAACTTTTCCTTTAATTCTTCTGGTTCGTCTACTGGTCCGCTAGGTGAAGTTTTTAATGCAGATTTCAATTTCCCGGCATTTTTTGAATTGATTGTCTTAGACGATTTCTTTACAGCTGTCTTTTCGCCTGTTGGGTTCTCACCTGTTGTCTTTTCAGCTGTTGTCTTTGAGGATTTCCTGTCTGGTGTCGTATGACCTGTTGTCTTTGGGGATTTTCTGTCAGGGGTCGTATCCCTTGTCTTTGAGGATTTTCTGTCGGGTGATTTTTGTCTTGCTGTTTTGCCAGCTAGTGGCTCCTCGACTGGTGTCTTGTAGACCTCTGTGTCCCCGACTGCATTAACGTTTCGGTAGGCGATGATGATTTGACCAATACCATAGCCCAAGATAAAGAGAACGAAGGCAGATATAATGATGCTGATGAGATGTTTAGTTTCTTCGCTGACCATTTTTGCGTCATCGTCGCCGATTTTAGCATCGTCGTCGGGAGACGTTGTTGTGGAAGAGCTCTCTATGATGCCTGGCTGGACAATCGCTCTGATATGAGTAAGGAGCGGGTACTTTCCTTCATTACACAGCTACAGGAAAAAAAGTATCAAGTGCACATACATGTAGTAAATGTAAAAGACTCATAAAGAATTTTGACAAAGTCAAATGTCTGCCTAGTTCAGAGTGGCAAATATTGCTTTAGAAGTCCAGTGTAATTATAGTCAGTCTGATATTTTTCGAATGTCTACAGGTGCGTTGGAAATTAACAGGCAGAAGATTTGCTGGTTCTGCGCTACTTGATGGCGAATTGGTGCATACCAAGCTATTCGTTATCAGTGCCCTTCAAGAGCGAGTGAACAGTACGGAAGCACCAGTATATAACAATGGCTTCACGAGAATGGAGCACGCATTGACCGATAGCAAACTCTGTGTGTGTGCGTGTCTTTTGGGGAGTCTGGCGAAATGGAAAGTCTTATCATCATTTTGCAGTTAGTATTGACAGCTAGGCCACCGTTCTATTACTCACTGTGCACTCTTTTTGATGGCCAGCCCAGCACATTTCAGAAAACATTCGTCCTATAGATGCTCCTGGAGTTTCTAGTTCCCTTAACCAATTAGCTTCATGTTTCAGTACCTGTCATCGGCGACCGAGTCGCCGATTAACTCGCTGGTAGACGACTTCGTCGTCGGACTACACTTCAAGAGTCCTTGGACAGGGCTACTTTGTGGCGAACAATGTTAAGCCACCATATATGGCGCACTCAACCACAGTCATAAATATAACCGAAAGCTCCCTCTCTGTGAATGCTGGTTAAAGTGACGATTTTTTCGCCTTCTTCGAACCACAGGTTACCCAGTAATTAATCATACCTCTTCATCATCTTCAATTCATTTCGTCTAATGTTTAGAGATGTCTCTATATGGGCACTTATCTACCTATATTCTTTTCATGTCTCTTATGATATATACTATATTCACAAGCAATATGTATTGATGTCGGTGTAGTTATTCTGCTCATGGTATTCCTTGTCATTTTGCCAATCTTCATTTGTGTCAGATTCTAGTGTGGGTATGGGATACAATGTATGATGATTTTGAGTGTTGTCTGTACTTACTTGACCCCAACATGGCTTGTAGCTCAGTGACATGAATAGACAACTAGAAGAAAGACATGACAGAACGAGTTGACAGCTAACGAAGTCGCGTTATTTGTGACCGTTAGAACGTAGTTTATTAGCGTTAAGGAATTCCACACAAATTTGACTAAAATGCTCAAAAAATGGGGAAGCAGAAAAATCTTGCTCTGGCGATCATACTACGCCCCTCGCTTTGGAAAATCGCCTCATCCACAGCCTTGGCTTTCTTAGCCCAAGTAGTATCAATATCCAACATGCCTCCATCTAAACAGTTTTACTCTTTTCACATTATAAATGTTAAATTCTTTTCTTTTCTTTTATTTCATACTCACATCAATAGCATTTATCTATCATTAACATTTGTATTTCTTTTATTCCCACTATTATAATATGTATTAAAAATATTACTTTTTTTTGTGACTATATCTTTTAGCCATCGTATATTTTATTTTATTTCATTTTTTCCCCATCACATAAAAAAAAAAAAAAACGTTGCTTAAGTCACTCCTTAGAGATCTGTATACTCTCCTCGCTGTTATTTTAATATAGATTGATAAAGGCTGCCCGGCCAAAACGTTACGTTATTTGTCTTTTTTGGTGCACGTTTTTCTGCTTCCCCACTTTGTTTGAGCTTTTAAGTCAAATTTATGTCGAATTCCTTGCATTAGCTTGACTGCAGTCACTCCCATATTTTTCACTTTTATTAGCGAAGTGACCGATATTGTGGGTAATAATGTTTTTATCTATTTCAGTGTTACGCGAACACCACACACACACACACACACACACACACACACACACACACACATGGTGGTTGTAAGTGACTCAAAAGCATGCTGCGGAAGGTCAGGACAGGGCAGCTACGGGAAGAGTGGCATGCTTCAGTGAGGAGTATTGTCTGGATTCTATCACCGGGTCACGCCGGTGTGTTGGAAAATTAACTGGCGGACAGACTGGCTGGGTCTGCACAACTTGGGGCAATACTGATGCATGATAAGGCAGACATGGCTAGTGCCTTGTGGGAGAGCTTGTACAGTTCGGAGGAGCAGATGGGTGACCACAGTCTGGCGAGATTGATGCAGGGGGAGTGACGCGAGGTTCTGCCAAATGCTTGAGGCTCAGAGGAAAGGCAAGACGTATGTTTAATCAGAATGCCTATGGCACTATTAGTATCCGAACTATTCACTGGCTTCTGAAGATGAGAACGGAGCGCTTAAGGGAATGCCCCGAGTGCTGTGATGTCGGTTCTTGAAACAAATCAAATCATACAAATGATTTCCTTAGCCATTTAGTCTGAACGGTCTCTAGTTTATTTGCTATTTCTGTTTTCATTTCCAACACTCAGTGTTGAATAAAAGAATTTTTAAAATGTATTTGCATAACCTGAGGTTCCCCCCCCCCCCCCCCCCCCCTAAAAGTAAACAAATTTCCTATTTGAAAAAATCTAACTTCCGAGGTATATAAGTTCGTAAACTTAGCCTATTGCTTCTGGCTTAAGATAATTGGATTTTCTGTTATCGGTAAAGTGTTTATCATCTTAGCTTTACAAGTTTACATCCTGAGTCCTATGTTTATAGTAATTTTTGTTTTTCACAGACGTAGATACAATTCTATTTTATAGAGAACCATATTTAATGAGTAATTGTTAACAAAAAGTGCACACGCTTGAAGGGAGTGTAAATGCATTGATTACATGAAGAAATAAGCTATAAATAAAAAAAAAATATTACGAAAGTAAAACTACCTTTCTCTAGGTGTTCTGTCTCGTCAGCTTTCATTTTTAACTATTATACTACCCCCAGGCAGCGATTGGTTCCTTGTTCCGTGCCCTCATCTACTGCAATTCAGGTCTTTTCTTTAGGCAGCTATTGTCTCTCTGTTATCTTATCATCCTCTCTAGATGCTTCAACCAGTGCAATTGACTAGCCCTTGTGGTGTAGCTAATTAATAGTAATTTACACAGATGATACATTTTATCGTTGCTTCGCACCCACTATTCTTCGAGTTCGCATCTTTAATCGGTCCAAAAAATTCGGACACGTCTCAAAAATAAGTATTAAGGCTCAAACTCTTGAAGCTGTATTGCGGCTTTAGGACCACACAGGAGAGCTGGTCAGATCAACTTTTTTGAGATCTTGTTGCTACGGGCTATATTTATGTTGATTCAATGGATCAGCTTCAGCGCACATGGGTGTAACCCATAAGTGCTCCGTTCTACATCTAACTAAAGCCTGAGTCTGAAAAATATCAGGACAATTCACGAACTCAGGTGTACCGGCGAGGATCCTGAAATACTTTGGGTAGATTTTAACTCCAAATGTTGCCCTGGCAGCTACTCTTTTCGATTTCCAACTGCCAAGGGATTTTTTAGGTGTGCAACAATACACACAGGCGTATGGTCTTTACTGCCTAGTTTCCTGAGGAAATTACTAGAAGTCCACGGGAAAAAATCCCAATCTTAGCGGGTGATTGAACCTGGGACCTCTAATACTTGAGGCCGACACCATGCCTCGAAACCACACAGCACCTGTTTCGAGATAGAGCCCTTGATTTAAGCCAGCGTTTTACCTAATAGTACACCTTATTTCCAAATTATGAAATTATTCAGATGGACTGGTTTATACAACACATCAACATTATTGTACAAGGGTAGATACTCATAAGTGCTCCGTTCTACTTCTAGCCCAAGCCTGAGTCCTTAGAATCTCAGCTAGTGCATCAACTCCGTAGCACTGGAGAGGACCCTGAAAATGCTTTTGGATAGATTTTTAACTTCAAATTTGGCCCAGGATGCGACGTTAGCTACTCTTTTCGATTTTCAACTGCCAAGTGCCCAACAATACACACGGGCGTCCGATTTCACCATAAAGAGACTTCAATTATTATAATTCTGCGTGTAAAAATCCTAGCCTTCACCGGGACCTGAACCTGGGACTCCCAGCACTCGGCAGACGCCATGCCTCGAGACCACTCAGCTCCCGTGAAATGATATAGAACCAAACAAGACCTAGAACTAGTCAGATTCACATTATTACAACCACAAACGACAAGTCTGTATTTGATTCAACTCGACCAGGACAAAACCTACAACTAGTCAGATTCACATTATTACAACCACAAACGACAAGTCTGTATTTGATTCAACTCGACCAGGACAAAACCTACAACTAGTCAGATTTACATTATTACAACCACAAACCACAAGTCTGTATTTGATTCAACTCGACCAGGACAAAACCTACAACTAGTCAGATTCACATTATTACAACCACAAACGACAAGTCTGTATTTGATTCAACTCGACCAGGACAAAACCTACAACTAGTCAGATTCACATTATTACAACCACAAACGACAAGTCTGTATTTGATTCAACTCGACCAGGACAAAACCTACAACTAGTCAGATTCACATTATTACAACCACAAACGACAAGTATGTATGCGATTCAACTCAAACAGGACAATACAAAGAGCGATTCACATTATTACAACCACAAACGACAAGGATGTATGCGATTCAACTCGACCAGGACAATACAAACGAGCGATAAACACCCGGTGACACAAAGTACCACCATTCGGATGATTATCACCCAGGGAAATGTCCCATAAATCCCGTTCAAATCTTAGGTTATACTGATGCCCCTGATTACAGCCGCAATAGGGTCTTTAAATAACAAAAACTTGCGTCCCACTGCAGGACGGCTATAATTAAACGATAAGTGAAACGTTTCAGTTAGAAAACCATTCATCAGCAGATGACGTAACTAGTAATAATAAAATCATACACGAGAAGCACAAAATCACTTAACTGAGGCGTCACAAAAAATAATCCACTTGCCTACCTGGCTTGTTGAAGTTCCGAAAACACGTGTGAGTACAGGAAATGAATGCTAGCGAGGAAAAGCTGAAGTAGGCACAAACAGTAAGTCTATTAGGTAAGCTACAGCCCATAAGTCTATCTTATGTTTAGACTGTATTTTAGATGGTTTCCCCTCCCTTTGTATCTTGGAGCAATTGAAGTGTGTACCCAAGTACGTATGGGTACTTTCAAAAATATTCCCATATGTGTCAGCTCAAGAAAAATACACATATTATGCAGGCCTTCAATGTGAATAAGGGATAACGATTGCTCTTACAATATTTCTAACTACAGAGATAATCGTTACAATCGCTTTAACCCACCGATCCGGTAAAGTCATCTTCATCAAGTCCGTTGAACATGATTCCAGCAACATCTAAGTGTTGAAACCATTTGATCTGGAAGAGAAAGTACAGGGGCGTGGACAAAGACCTGTGTATTGATTTCCCGTTACATTATCAACTCACTGCACGCCAGACAAACACGTTGTCATCCCTCTTCATCAACACGTAAACACATCTATACATTTAATCTGATCTCGCAGCATTAAAAACTGGCCTGTGTTCCAAAATAAACCCAGCTAAAATAAAGATCAGGAAGTTTCCTCGGAAGTAAAAGCAGCAGACGTTATTTTATCCACATCGATTGCCAAATTGACTATCAAAATAAGAGTCTACCACCTAATATACAGCTGTGTTAACACGAGATTTCTTGTTGTCTAACTCACTATGTTTGCAACACAAGTCTGAGGAAATTGATAAACATTAGATGGGGTGAATTTAGGAGAGGTCAAAAAGTCAGAGAAATGACTAGACAACAGCTTATATCAGTAGTTCCTCGTGTCGATTCCGAGTTCCATTGTGGGGAAAACAAGAAAAGACCCACTGTCTCCAAAGAAAGTAAGTAGTAAGACTCGACTGATCGATGGCTTCCTTTCATGTCGAAATGCATCTGCCTGAGAGGCAAGGAACCAACAATCTGCACGCAAATAAGTCACTTCAGTTAAATGGATGTGTATGTGGAACAAAACTAATGTCCAGAGACGGCGAACAAGCAGAACTTTCCGCCAGAGTTTCGACCGGTGAATGCGAAGAAGAAGTAGATCAGTAGTTGTAAGATACAGAAGATGACCATATCTTGGGAATATCATGAGGAGAATGGAACAGAAAACACTAAAAGCGCACTGAAATATGAAAAAAAAAAATGGACTCATCAAACGGGGAATTTCAAGAATGTTAATAAAAGAGACCAAAGGAAATGGGTTGGATTCTAGTCATGAATTTAACATGTTTGTCCAGGATTGAATGGTGTGAAAGGAAAGATTGCAAGACCTAAACGACGTATGAAAGATATAACACGATGATGATGATGATGATGATTTTGATGATGATGATGATGCAAGTTGTGAAATATACCCATAACTATCATGTAAGTTATTTTAAAAACATCTAGAAATGCCTTTACCTTTTCTTCTATACTCTGTTTGTCTTCATAACCGATCCAAGTGTGTCCACGAATTAGGTAGGGATTTTTCTGAAGGCCATCGAAGTAGTATTGGCTAGCTGCTTTGTACACACAGACCTTCAAGACACCACAGAAAGACAAACTCATTTGCACTTTAAGACTGCTGGTAATGAAACAGAAGAAAAATTTGAGTACGCATTCTGAAAAAAAAAAAAAAAAGCTACGGCAGCAAGGTGACTAGCGGCTTGCACGCCGGCTCGACTCACTGGTTGATCCGGTCAATAATAGTACCAGGAAATTTCTTTGGAAAATAAGTGGTCGAAGATGTCCCTAGCCCGAACAAGGTCAGTTTATTACTTACTTGATAACTAACCAAAGCATCTTTGGGAGATATGGTAGCGCAATAACTAGACGTTTCATAACTAAAGAACGTTCCAAAACTCGAGGACTCACTCTTTAACAAATATCCCAAACACCTACTGTGTGGATGAACACGAATTTTTGCAGTCGGCCTTAGATTCTCCACGTCCTTAGGATTTTATAATTTATAGTTGCTCAAGTACGGCTGTTTTCTTAAAGAGGCGAATTACTTTGACTTTTTTTGTTTGACAAATGATATCAGCATCCCTAAAAATAGAATATACAGTAATTCACACATGTGTGATTTGTTTGAAAATTAGTTCACATGTGCATCAACGTGTGGCTATTATTTTGATAACCTAATTCGCATCTAAGTGGAAAATCTGCAACTCGCGGTAGACGTATGCAGGAGACGACCGTTTGAGAGTCAAACGCTAATGAAACGAGTGCAATTTTATCTTGTGAAAAGCTCCTCTTAGTCAGTTGACTCAAGTTACTGTAACCATGAGTCCGTCTCGAGTGCGAGAAGTTCCGGGTTCATTCCTTGTTAAGAGCTGTGATTTTTTTTCACGTGGACTTGGACTTCTAGAAATGTTCGCTGGTCTCTGGGTAATGAGACCGGACGCCCGTGTGCATTGTTGCGCATGTAAAACATCCCTTGGTAGTTGGAAATCGAGAACAAGTAGCCTTACAGCGCTGCCTGGGCAAAATTTGGAGTTACCAAACTACCCAAAGTATTTCAGGATCCTCGCGAATGCTACAGAGCCTGTGCACTGTGCTGAGCTTCTTCGGACTTAGACTTGAGTTAGAAGAAGAACGGAGCACTTGTGGGTTACACCCATGTGCCATGATGTTGATCCGTTGTTCAAAACCTCGAAACCTCAAACCCTAACCATGCAGACTGTATGCTTTGAAGTGATGTCTATGTTTTTATATGCAACAAAAAGAGTGAAATGTAAACAAACAAATTTCTTATAAAGACAGTATTATTAACAGGCTAGATGCCGCAGTTCAAAAGCTTACACTGAGTGGTTACTTGTGTTACGGATATGTACATTTCGTCAGGATTTCTGGAACCCATTATAACCGGAAGATCTTGGTGTGTGGTAGGGGAAAGGGAGGCGGGTTAGTGGGAAAGGAAAACTCTTCATAGCTAATCTGAAAGTTGTGCCAAGATATGTTATCGCGAGAACAAAACGCTTGAAAACTGACCTGGAGATCTTGTGTTTGTGTTTAATCGAGAAAACGATTACTAGCCTAACGGTTTTGTGAAGATGTGCTATCGCGACTACATGACGCTTGGTAACTAACCAGATCATGAAAAGATACGTTATCGCGAAAGACAGACGCTTGCTAACTATTTTGAAGATCTTTGTAAGATGTTTTATCGTGAGTACAGGACTCTTGGTAACCAACATGAAGATCTCGGATTTGAATCTCAGTATGGACTCCAATGTTGACCCAGACTTAAATAGGTTAAAAAAGAATGTGCAGGAATATAATCGGGAGTTATGAGTTAGATTTTCTTCACAGCACTCCAGACAGATCCATGGGAGCTCAGACTCCCCTCTTAACATATTCATTAGCGTCGTGCGGTTAGTGGTGCTAGTCATGTGTTGGTTAACAAGATTTCGTGTGCCTCCGGTGTGCTTCTCATGCTTGGCTGTGCCGATCTTTACTCGCAATTCGTGTATTCTTAGCAGTTATGTGGACACGTTGCTTTCAAAATCCTCAGAAAGTCCCATCTCTCTAATGAAACCATCTGTATGTCTGTGACAATAGCTACGTGGTCCATAGGCCGGTCATCTTCAATTGATGCAGCACCTGCCAGTCTCTCAGCTCTTCCATTACCAACAACGCCTGCAAGACTTGTGACGAAAAAAAAGGTAACTGCACATACAGGAGAGTATTTCAATGACTCACATCACTGTCCTGCGTAACCAGCCTGCCTCGAGCCGCCAGATCATGCTCAGAGTCACTCAGCACACACACACGGGGGAATAGTCCTGTAATTCTAGCCACATGAAAGCTTGTGTCACCACCATCTCTTCCATTATCATGCTGCTGGTGGTCATGGAGAAGGCACCGCTGACTTCCTGAACTGTTCTGCCTGAAGAGCGAGCTCAGTGTTGCCACTTTGGATATTTTACATCCAGATTCAGATCTTTTTCCTTGCATTTAGATGGCGTTTTTGACGTTAAATAGTAGATGTTTTTCTAGACGTTTTTCACCTGGAGTGAATTTATCAAATCTAACCTAAGAAACAGGATAAAATTTGCCCTCTTAAATGCTATCTTGACTATAAATTTAAGCCTGAAAAGAGTAGAAATATGCTCTTCCGCTTATCAGCTCCGTGATTGTGAATTACAAGAAATTGGAACAGCTAAAGCACACCAGTCATTTTGGATCTGAAGCTTCAGCTTCATCATCCAAGCTAAGTTTATCCTGTGTATCTTGTAAGGCAGACTTCAGTAAAGATGAGGTCATGATTCTATAGGGTAAGTCATATCAATAGCTATGTAATTTGTGACTCTTTCTATTTGAATTTTTTTCTAGATGTTTTCCACGCAAATATAGATGTTTTTATATATTTTTGGACTCCGTTGTGGATATATTTTGTCAAAGAAAAGTGGCAACACTGAGCGAGCTGTAAATGACCATGCACGCTTATCTCGTCGTAAAACGGACCCGTCTGTAAAGATCACCACATCTGTCTCATCTGACTTGTTACTGATAAGCCCGGACACCTCGGCATTGACATCAGCTGGATTCTGCGCCCGACATCTTCTATCGAGCGTCATGACACAGGAGAATGTGAGACTGGGCGCCTTAGACACTGGTATCCATTCTTCACCTGGATGGGTATCTGTAAGGCTGCAAACCTTCGTGATGCCATCCTCTGCCCTACCGAGCCATGATTTGCCAATTTTAATTAAGCCTATTGCCCCCTTTTTTTTTTGAAGAGCATGTGGTACAAAGGATGCTTCAGATCTGAGCTTATCTTGAGGTGTGAACGAGCCCTCTAGATCTCGATCCTGTAGTTCATGGTAGGGAAGTCAAGAAGGTAACTCATTGCTTCACAGGAGGTGTCTCCAGTGCACCCCAGAAAATGCGCGTTGCTTGGAGTAGAAAGGGAAAGGGTTGGGGTGGCTGTAGCATGTTTAACAGATATATCAATGAGTCCCAGTTGATCTGAGAAAGAAGAGGGGAGGGGGGGGGTGTGTGTAATATGTTGACCAGATAACTCAACGAGTTCCAGTTGATCTGAGAAGATTTGGAGGGAGCAGCTGGAGCAATGAGTGTCACAATGAATAAACCCAACACAATCAAAGCCGCCTTCACCAGATAAGAATGAGTTTGTCTCATAAAATATGACATAAATAACTCAGGCAAACTTTACGCCAGGAGACCATGCGGATGTTCAAGGTAATAAACGTGAGATCCATATCGCCAAGACGGTTAGAACGTTCGACAGGACACCGTATCCCTGTTCGGATGGGGGAACTGGGGTGATACCTCTTGGAGCCACCAGAAATGAACATTTCACTACAGTGCAAGACAGAACGAGAGTGATCTGCTGTTTCTCACTTATGGGGCTATCAAGGAGTAGATGGCGGCACCAAGATATCTCCTAGGGTCGGTGATGATAGTCGTCAACAACCAGTAACAAGTAAATAGCATCGTCATCGTCATAAACGTTGTGCGTCTTGGATTATTGATCGCCATCTGGCACAATCCGGGGTATCTTGGTGGGTTACCTAGATGTTATCTTGTCGCGCCAGGTACTCAGAGCATTTCCCCTTGCTCTTCTTTTCTCTCTGGGTGGACAATTAGAGGATCTGTTTCCACGCCTTCAGCCTTATAAGGCATATAGGGCTAGACCTTTTTCAGAGACACATCGGTATATGGTGGGTGATGTAATCAATATGGCGCCGGCAAACTTTACTTACCAAGATTTTACCTGGTAATAATACAAAACTGGGTCGACCCGAGAGACAAGGAATCTTTTTTTTTTATTGCTCCGGCTTCGTTGCATTTAAACCACGACTTTTGAACCGCATTAAAGCGTCTCTTTGATTTACCACAGCGGCTGTTATGTTTGAAAATTGCCGATCCGTTAATATTCATCCTTCCTTAACGCATGCCTGTACCTACTGCAAGCCCCATGAATTCAGAGAAAATCACTAACTAAAACCTGAACAAAACTAGAATGTCAATGAAAGGTACTGAACACAGCACAAGTCTGACTAGAAAGTTGAACAGTGGGAATGGAACAGACGCGTATAAACAAACCGAACATCTCGACCTACGTCTTTACGAACGAGATACTGGGTATAAATATTAGGGATGTACCGAATATTCGATTCGTATTCGCTTCGGGGCCGAATAGTGGACCTAAAAACTATTCGGTATTCGGTTACCTTACACCTGTTTCTGCATACACTGCGATGGACTGAAATAACTCTCTCGTTAACGCAATCGTTGCTGTTGCCTATGTTTGTCGTAGCAGGGGAACTGCGACCCGGTTGCGTGGTACAAACTGCATAAAATGCCAACCGCAGTGTGTTTGTGTGTGTGTGTGAGAGAGAGAGAGAGAGAGAGAGAGAGAGAGAGAGAGAGAGAGAGAGAGAGAGAAAGAGAGGGAGAGAAAGAGAGGGAGAGAGAGAGAGAGAAAGAGAGGGGGCGGAGAAATAGATCAAGCATTTTTCGTTTTTTCAGCGTGTCTTCGCCCAAATCAAATTTGAAGAAAATTTCTAACAAGAATATGAAGGTGCGTTTAAATTACATCGAACGAACGGCCGAGCGAACGATGGTTTTAAAAGAGGCGGGAGCCCGAAGACAACTAGTCACAGTCATGAAAAGGAGACAGTCGTCATTTTTCGGCCATGTATTGAGAAAAGGGAAAATGAAACATGTGGTAACCACTCCTTCTGTGGAAGGAGGGATAGACGAAGACATCGATAGAAGATTCTTGACAGTCTTGTTGCATGGCATTGAGGCGTGTCAGCACACGAACGGATACATGCTGCAGGAGATCGCAGATTGTGGAGAGACATGATCGCCCACGCCAGTCAGCAAAGCACCTGATGATAATGATACACTATTCGTATTCGTATTCGTATTCGGCCGAATAGTTGGTCCCACTATTCGTATTCGGCCGAAAAGTGAAAATCACTATTCGGCACAGCCCTAATAAATATAAATCGATATTACTGGTGACAAGAAAACTCATCACACAAGAAAGTGGAGCTTTTCAACATGTCTCATTTTATAGGTTTCAAGTAGTAGTTTACTTGCCCTGTTCTCTTGTCCGTTTAGTTTCCAGTCATAGTTTGTCAGATTTTAATACTTTTTTGACAGACATTGGTCAAAACATTGAGCTGTATTTACCCTGGTCGTTTTCATTTCCTACGTTGCGTTTCGTAGTCCCAATTTGTCGTGTACGAAGTGCTTCCTGTCATCAGTACGACTATAGTCACTCGTATTTGCATCACAGATTTAGAAAATACATCGCAAATATTTGATGCCCCAAGGCTGTACCTGTTCAAAGACACGCGCTGATTTTACATCAGTAAACCACCCACCTCCGGAAATGCTAATCCCAACCGGATGTTGTAGTAGGGCCCATACTCCACCGTGGGGGTGATAGGCGAGCCTGGCAGGTGGCTGGAGACGTTGACTAGTTCCAGGATGCGACCGACCCCAGTGATGCCCACCAACATCTTCGAATAGTCGATCCCCATACTTTTCCAGTACAAGACCGTATGGTTCTGTATACAATCATTTAGAAGCTCGGTTAGTTATTGAATGCGTTTGTTAAATAACATGCTAAAAATAAAGAACCCTTGTGCAAACGTCTGCAGGCGTAATGGGCATATAGGGTTAGACCTAAATCTTATAGACCAATCGGCACTTGTTGGTGATGTGGTCAGCATTATGCCGTCCTCCTTTACTTCCCAGGGCTGTACTTGAAACCACTAAAGGCTAGGTCAACCTGAGAGCCGAGGTCATTTTGAATAAAGGCCGGCTTGGTCATGATGCGACCTTCCGATCAGTAGGCGATCGTCTAGCCGCTACACCATAGTAGTTTCCTTAAGTATATAAACATATTTTCAACAGCAACGACAACAAAATCTGTATATTTTAACGACGAAAATCATCTTGTTGTCTAAGTATTCACCCACGCTTGGAAACTGAGTAACGATGACAGCTCGCGTTCTCTTTAAGTAAGAAGAAACTCCACAGGGGAGCATGTACAGCAGTAGTCTACCAATCGTCAGTAGAAGTAATCTCTCGTTGACAAATATTGCCGACGAGCTCCTAGACATTTTCAGAGAGTGGGCCCACCTGAGTTCATGAGGCTCAGGGTTGATTTTCTCCTGCTGCACGTACACACAATAGACAGGAAAATGACGTGAAGGATTTCTGCATTTCTTCACCGGCGTAGGTGCAGCAGACGATCCTGAGTGTGATGTACATGTTTATAGAAAAGACCTGAGCTAGCCGTCTTCTCTTCCTCTTATTCTTTTTTTCTGCCCCATTTATTTTACATTATGTTTATTATTTTACATACAGAAACATGTCGAGCTATTCAGTGTATACAGTCTCATCGTCATTCCCATCATGCAGCACGTGGCTCATTACTGTCCATCTGAAAGAAACTCGGTACCCCCTGTCTCATGCACTTCCTGCCCACAGTGTCTTCTAGTATCCCTGCACCCATCTACGTTCTAGTCGTCTCCTGCCCCTCTAGCATGATAACATACCCACTGCTAATGTGATTTCTATCTACAATGGCGCTTGATGTGACCAAATTTAGGTTTTAGAAACAATATGCTGTTTAGGAGACACACATTCCTTGATGATCGCATATTTTGAAATTTAAATATTTTTCTACTAGCTTAATGGAATTCTAAGAATCTCGTGCAATTCAGTTCATTTTCTTAAATCAATGAGTGCAAAATTATCCACGATCCACATCCTGGTATAGAGCGATGAATCAATTACAACAGAGCTTTTCACTGTCTGGCACAATATCTAAGGTATGATGACACTTCAGTCAACTACAAAAAGGACATACACAAAAATTACAGCTGGATTTCTAAAGAAGAGCAAAAAGGCCAACAACAACTGAACATCACAACAAGTAGCCAAGTTTAAAGTCACTATAAACATCGTCAAAGAACAATTTACTATATTACTCCATGCGTGCTCTGATAGTGCAGTCAGTCTTGAATACATACATTGATGGATCGATTATCTGTTAATCTGTGTCAGTCTACTTTTTCAGGCCATGAACAGTCAGAGGGGTAATCTTAAAAACACAGAAGAAACCAGCCTAAACTTCTTCACTGTATGTTCAGATAGCTACTACTGGCAGACGACACAGATACATCTTCTTGATGTGCATTGGCCGTCCACTGACCACTCTCTTTCGAAGAGACCTCGTCAGCGGACATCCTTTAGACGGCTGCTACAGGAGTGGTCAATTGGAAGAATATAGACGAGGAAGATAGTCGAGTCGATAGTGGTAATCATGATAATATTCTCTCTCTCTCTCTCTCTCTCTCTCTCTCTCTCTCTCTCTCTCTCTCTCTCTCTCTCTCTCTCTCTCTCTCTCTCTCTTACAGCATACTATGTCGTCACTCTGAGCCCGCGTTAGAACAACTCTGTCACGCGGTCACGCACACTAAAATGTAGAATGTTTATAGTGGGGCATAGAGGTGTACTAGGAAGTGAGCATGCTGATAGACCTGAAGGTACAGCTACTGTGGGGTGGGATAGGGTGCGGGTAAGGTGGGGAGGGGGCGGAAACAGTCAAAAAACAGGCTGATATACTGCATGCGGCACGAAAATTAAGACATTTGCAAGAACTACACGAGGACTGAATATGCAAATACAGTCAGACTGCAGGAACATGACGTTAAATAGGGGGTTGCCAAAAAAGATCACTTTGCAGGAAGCCAAATAAAATAAAAGAAACCAACACAAAACTGGTGTCGTCAGTCGCTTTAGGACACTGGGTCTACAGACGAGGGAACGTGAGCACTTATGGGCCGCATGATTGTGTGTGTGTGTGTGTAGTTAGGATGATCTGTAGACCACATAGCAGAGTGAATGTGACTGATCGGGCTGCAGTTGTACCTACCACACAGTACCTAATGTAAGGCTGCGACCGAAGTCTGGCATACAGGGGACTGTTGAACAGAGCATATCTCATCCCGTTCATGGGGAAGTTGAAGGCTTTGACGATAATGTAGGACACGTAACTAGGGACAAGTGAACAAAATGGATGGATTAGCAAACCAAAAAGACAGACATAAAAGACAAACAGATGGATGGATGGCCAGATTAATAGACATATAGACAGATAACCAGACAGACAGATAGACAAGCAGGCGTAAGGATAGGGGGGACAGTTGGACCGAGACACAGACATATAGACAGATAACCAGACAGACAGATAGACAAGCAGGCGTAAGGATAGGGGGGACAGTTGGACCGAGACACAGACATACAGATGGTTTCCTGAATAAATAGAAAGAGACAGAAAGACTGTGCGATAGATCTAGATAGATGACATACAGACCGACCGACCAACCGACCGACAGACAGACGATTAGATGGATAAAAACCGACGGTCAGACGGATAAAGATAAATGACATACAGTCCCATACAGCCAGACAGACTAACAGACAAAGGGTTGAATGGAGATAGATAGATTACAGACATAAAGACAGACAGACGGATGGACAAACAGATAGATAGATAGATAGTCCCAATACAGCCAGACAGACTAACAGACAAAGGGTTGAATGGAGATAGATAGATTACAGACATAAAGACAGACAGCCGGATAGATAGATAGATAGATAGATAGATAGATAGATAGATAGATAGATAGATAGATAGATAGATAGATAGATAGATAGATAGATAGATAGATAGATAGATAGATAGATAGATAGATAGATAGATAGATAGATAGATAGATAGATAGATAGATAGATAGATAGATAGATAGATAGATAGATAGATAGATAGATAGATAGATAGATAGATAGATAGATAGATAGATAGATAGATAGATAGATAGATAGATAGATAGATAGATAGATAGATAGATAGATAGATAGATAGATAGATAGATAGATAGATAGATAGATAGATTAGATAGATAGATAGATATATAGATAGATAGATAGATAGATAGATAGATAGATAGATAGATAGATAGATAGATAGATAGATAGATAGATAGATAGATAGATAGATAGATAGATAGATTAGATAGATTAGAAAGATTAGATAGATAGATAGATAGATAGATAGATAGATAGATAGATAGATAGATAGATAGATAGATAGATAGATAGATAGATAGATAGATAGATAGATAGATAGATAGATAGATAGATAGATAGATAGATAGATAGATAGATAGATAGATAGATAGATAGATAGATAGATAGATAGATAGATAGATAGATAGATAGATAGATAGATAGATAGATAGATAGATAGATAGATAGATAGATAGATAGATAGATAGATAGATAGATAGATAGATAGATAGATAGATAGATAGATAGATAGATAGATAGATAGATAGATAGATAGATAGATAGATAGATAGATAGATAGATAGATAGATAGATAGATAGATCTAACTTTTCAGTTACCAACTTGATCAGCTCTGACACAGTTGTATCCATATCTGGATATATTTCTGTGCCCTGCAGGACAGGAATCAACAGCAGATGTGTAGCATTCAACCTAACGCATTGTTCTTTCAACACCTGTGGGGAGAAGACACATTTTGCCTTTTGTTTGGTATTCATGTTTTGGTTATGCATTGAATTATTAAATGTTCCAAAATGCGTTTTCTTCACAATGAAGATTGGATGCAATGTATTCATTTCTGTTGTTGGCACTTTTCCGCCTTTCTAGAAGATTGTGTTGTATAGTCGTATGGCAAAGTATGATATTCACAATCGGTATTGTAGAGACGATATGCTGCCTATGTATCGTGATTCGACACTCGGTGTACCTTGTTTACTTCAAAAGAAAGGTAACATCATTACCTCTGTAATGAGATTACATCATTATATAAATAAAAATTGATGATTACATTCATTAGCAATTCAGCGCAGTATAACAATTAAATTAGTATTATTAGAAGTTTTGTGCACTTAAACAAGGCTTTATGGTATATGGGGCCCTCACCTTCTTCCTCACCTGCGAAAAGGAGCCTGATGCTCCTGCCCAGCCCTAGTTAGTCTTTCTGTCAATACCTCACTGCAGCAAACATCCAATGCACATCATCATCATCATGTAGCAGGTCCTTTGCAGAATGTCGCTCTCATCACAGTCTGCCTGTAAGAAACTCGGTCTCTTGCCAGTTCTCCCGCCTCATGAACTTTCACACTCAAGGAGTCACTTATATCCTGTGCCCATCTTCGTGTCGGTCGGCCCCTGCCCCTCCTTCCTGATATAATGATAAAGCGTTATGCATAGACGAATACCTACCACGGAGGAGACACCTCAAACACACCCCAAGCAGGACAACACTGACAACTCACTGACCTTCATCACTTCCACAGTAATATTCCGTGTATCGAAATCATCAGGTGGTTGCCAGTCCATCAACAGTCCATCAAAACCTTTATCCCTGGCTAGATTGATCGCTGACACAGCGAAGGCTTGCATACTCAGCTCTGACTGACCAACTGCCACAAGTCCAAAGTGGGCGTTTCTGTCAGGACCTCC